ACCGTGGACCCATCTCTTCATAAAGGTCTTACTTTAGGTAATAGTGTGAGCACAGAACCTGTGCTAGTCACTTTGTGATTGGACCTAGATGTCAGGGCCAGACGAGAGCAGAACATAAAGGTGAAGGTTTAGAGGGACAGGGACCCCCAAACAGGCCTAAGCTTAGGGGGAGGAGATGCCCACAGGTTATAACCCAGAAAAGAGGTGTGGATGTGCCTGCCGTCTTCCCTATGTGGGCAGCAAAGAAGGATCTAAGTATGATGGCCACTTTCTGCCTTGCCTCTGCCAGTCAAGATGTCACCTCTGACTGAGACACAGCAAGGCTTTCCAAATCTCTGCCCCCTCCCAGTCCCCACCAGTCACACACTTTGTTGGCCTGTTGTTTCTTGATATTCTGTCTTCTTACTCCCATCAATTCATCTCTAAGAAAAGAAGGCATCAAAAAGGGTGTTGTGTTTTGTTTTTGTTTTGTTGGCCACCATTAATTCCAAAACAGGCTAAGCTAGATAGAAAAGAGAGATTTAACATGAGATTTATTAAGCTTTAAATCCCACATTGAACTGCTCTGAGTTTTTTCATAAAACCTTTGTCAAGAGAACCATGCTGGTATATATTTATTGAAACAGGGTTTGTGGACTGGCCATAGGGCCTAGCTCAGTTTTTTTCAAGTATCACTCATGTGGGAGAATTTACTTTTTTCTAAACAACCAGCCACAGAACTCCCCCATAAAATGGAGGGGGGGTGTCTAAGTCACACAAATTCAAAAGTGAAGTAACAGTCATAGGTAGCATGTGATGAAGTGCCAAATGAATATCCCCAAAGCCATAGAGTTCAGAAGGTGAAAGAAGCCCTCTGCATGGGGTGTCAAGAAAACTTAGCAGGTGTTGGGAGTTACAGCTGGATCCAGGAGGAGAGGTTCATATCTAAGTAACCTTGGCTGGGCTCACACCTGTAGTCCTAGCACTTTGGAAGGCCTGAAGCAGGAGGATCACTTGAGGCTAGGAGTTCAAGATCCACCTGAGCAAGAGTGAGACCTCATCTCTATAAAAAAGTAGAAAAATTAACTGACTGTAGTTACAGGCACCTATAGTCCCAGTGCCCCAGGAGGCAGAGGCAGGAAGATCACTGGAGCCCCAGAGTTTAAGGTTATAGTGAGCTGTGATGATGCCGTTGCACTCCAGCCTATGCAACAGAGCAAGACCTTGTCTCAGAAAACAGCATGTTTGTACGTGTGTGTAGGTAGCCAGAGAATTTTGAGTGTTAGCTGTGAGAAAAGCTTGTGTGATAACTCCAGGTAGAATGAAGTGAAGGGAGCACTTGGAGGAAGTCATTAGGACTGTGATATCGGACATGTTTTCTGGCTAAACTGACATTCAGTGGTAAATAACTTCAGTATGTTTTACTTTCAGTGTCTACAAAGTATTGTCACACTCATCTCATTCAGTTCTTAGTCTCATGAAGTGGACAGCTTACTATCAGCTCTGCTTTCTAGAAGCAGCAGGCAGTTACCAGGGACTTTCCCCGAGGACAGTATTGCTGGTATGTTACCATGTGGCCTGCAGCCCACCCTCCTGTCCCATTGAGTCCTTAGGAGTGGGTCTCTGCCATGAAGGCAGGAAGCAATGGGACATGATGTGGCATTCCCTGATTAACTGTGATGGGGCTTGACAGCTCAGAGTTTGACATGAAGTAAAGAGGTTGGGAACTAGTGTGAAATGAGTTTGGATTCATAGCATGTTAAAAGATTTTGGAATTAGTGTATCCCATCCTACCCTGTGTTTTCAGTAAAGGCATGTGTGTGTAGTGAAAATCTTTTTTTAATTAAAAGACAAATAGATAAACAAGCGTCCCTCCTACTGATACACTAGGACCAGTTAGTGTCTTTTTCTCTACTTCCCCTTTACCTAAATAAGAGATCAGCAGGCGTTTTGGAATTCAACTTGGATTCTAGCTGATCTTCTTCCCTGCAGCACCTAAATCTTATATATGATAGCTGGAAGTGATGTTAATGACCACGAAGTAAAATCTCTTCACTTTATAGATACTATAAGGCAGAGAGAATGTGTGACATATTCTCACCAACCAGGCCATTTGGCTGTTGCGGCAGACCGAGAGGCCTCGCTGACCTCTCTCAGTTCCCAGGGCTGGTTTTATGGCCAGCACTACAACCCTTGGAGAAGTGTCTCTACAGGGACAGCCATGGAGGAGGGGGGAGCAGAGTGGACCAGGGTAGACCACGGTGGCCCACCTCCCCAGGGACCTTCCAAAACACCCTGC